CTCCAATGATCATTGTTTCCAATGTGTGAACGTTGCTTCATCTCTTCTGGCGCGTAATGTGCGTAAACCATTTTGGACAGAATTGTCACCAGTGATGAAAAATGGATTCTCTATGTGAATATTAAAAACCAAATACAATGGCTCAGTCCTAGACAAAACTCACTTCCGACATCAAAGGAGTAATTCATTTTGAACTCCTCAATCCACAGTGAACTGTCAATGTAACGTTTAAATCAAGCCCTTCGTCAGAAATGCCCTTCACTTGTCAACTGGAAAGGTGTTCTTCTTTTTCACGACAATGCACGTCCACATGTGGCACTTTTGACACAACACAAGATTATGGAGTTGGGTTGGGAAGTTCTTCCTCACCCACCATATTCTGTAAATATAGCCTCATCAGATTACCTTCTTTTTTGTTCATTGCAATACCATCTTAATGGGAAAACGTATGCAAATATGGAAGGTGTTAAAGAGAACATCGACATGTTTTTTGCTTCAAAGCCAAGTGATTTCTTTAATCAGGGCATTAACAACCTGGTTGTAAGATGGAAAAGCATCATCGATAAGAATGGAGACTATTTCATTTAATAAATGTTTTGTTTTGATACACAAGTTGTTCAGGTTTTTTCATCTAAAAAAAGTGACATTAATTTCTTGATGACTTGTTCTTGTGGCCTTTTACTCCACAGTTTCTCCGCTTCATTCCCAATAAGATTATTTTTGATGTTGTATATGGCTGATTTTCTTTCTTAATGTCATCGCCTTCTTCTCACTGAGTGGACCTTTCGTCCTTTGGCTTTTTAATGTATTTGGGAAATTTCTGTTTTTTTCAATGATTGATGCCTTTGTTTACAACAACTAACCATCTTGTATATTTTGACTAACATTTTTAATACACGTACCAGCCATCTCTACTATACATTTTTACTTCAAGTGAGTTTCTCGCCAGGTTATTCTCACTGCCCTATTTTGATCTTCTGAACTCTGTTTATGGGTCTATACCCAAGTAGCATCTCGTATAACTAATAAAACATAATGATTATAAAAATATTTTTTCCATCTCATAGTTGTTGAATGGTATAACATACTTATATTTTCTTGTTGTAGGCAAATTCCTATATAACTATTTGTTGAATGTGTTTTTTTTTAACCTTGGCATTTTTTCATTCATACAGGCAATTCCCTACAAAAATGTATATAAATACCAATTGTTTGTTGAATACTATAAATACCTTGGCATTGTTTGTTTGATACTGGGCTATTCCCTACAAAAATTGTAAAATTAAATTGTTTGTTGAATTGCATAGTATATTTTGGCATTATTTATTTTATGACAGGCGGTTCCCCATAAAGATGTATCTAAAAACAAGTTGTTTGTTGAACAATTTATATTTTTGAATATTCTTTCTTAAGTCAGGCAATTTCCTCTCAAGATTTATACAAAAACAAACTATAAAAAAATTATATTAAAATAAATTTAGTAGTATATCTTGGCTTTATTTGTTTCACGATAGACAATTCCACAAAAACAATTAATGTAAAATTAAATCTTTGTTGAGTAGTACAGTATATCTGGTTATTATTTGATGGGCAGTACTGTATAAATATGTATGAAAATCAAATTGACTGTTGAATAGTATAGTATATCTTAGCAATTTTACTTTTTAAATGGTAATTTCTTCCAAAATATATATATATATACGTAAAAATAAATAATAATAAAAATTGTTTGTTGAGTAGATAGTGTATTCTCACATTTTTAGTTTTGTGGAAGGTAATTCACTACAAACATTTATGTAAATATAAATTAGTTATTGAATATTATAGTATATCTTTACACTTTTGTTTGACTTCAAGCAGTTTCCTACAAAAAGAAACGTAAAAAATTGTTTGTTGAATGATATAGTCTATCAGGGCATTATTTGTTTCACGTCAGACATATTACAATGAAAGTGTAATTTATGCAAAAATTTTTTTATATTTATACTTTAGTATCCATTGTACTGCAGAGACTATGTCTATATCAGACGAGCAGTGGTAAGTGAAAACATTAAAGCAAAATGTAGTCTTTAAAGAATGTAAATAATAATATTCCAGATGAAATAATAGTGTGTTTAAGAGAGTTATATTTAATATCTAAAATAACTTAATCTTTTGAAACATTCGAAAACATTATCTTGAAAAATGTAATACAAGTTAAACAGTCGTGCGTGTTTTAAGATGAAGAGAAAATGGTTCTAGTTTTGTGTGTTTTAATGTGAATGTAATTACTCATAATGATCTTTCATGTATTTTTTATAATACAAGAATTCGATTATGTTGTTAATTGGTACAGTTTTACTTTTTATAGTAATGTTGTGTTAAAAGTGCTTCATCTTTTTATTTATTTATTAAGGAATGAATCATTGCATAAAATAAAATGCTTCATCTCTTGTTTTATTTAGGTAGATTCATTGTCTAATGTCATGGTGCTAGTTTCTAGAGCAGTGGATCATCCAAATTGCCCTGAGAGTCAGAAGTGTGTCAGAGTGAAGAACTATTTCTCAAAGTTGATTATACGGCCTTATTCGCTTTGATGAAGTAAGATGTATGTTTATATACGAGCTTTGATGAAGTAAGATGTATGTTTATATACAGCTTTGATGAAGTAAGATGTATGTTTATATACAAGCTTTGATGAAGTAAGATGTATGTTTATATACAAGCTTTGATAAAGTAAGATGTATGTTTATATACAAGCTATGATGAAGTAAGATGTATGTTTATGAAAACCAAGCTTCCCAAAATATTCATTTTCTGTGTTTGAAAATTTATTTCAGTCAACTTTGCATTCATCACATTTGAAAAAAATAATTTTACTCAACCACTTATCCTTGCAGTCCCTGAATTGATACACTGTTCAAAATATCTGGAAAGTTTCAAGAAATGATTATGATTTGAAAAGTAATTGATATTATAATGCTTTTGAGAAAAACCTAGGCATAATAAACAGATGTGTTGAAAGTTAAACTAAAACAAGACAGTGTAATTGTACATTATATCAACAACAAAAGTTTGTCAATTTGTAGTATCATTAAGTAGGATAATACTTAATAATAGGGATCTTGTTGTAACAAAATGACAGCCATAAAAATTGGTCATTTTAAACCACTTTTAAAATGTCTGAATACTAAAAGTGACTATTTCACAGTATTGGCTGAGCAAAACTAACGCTTATTGTACTTATAAAGCCACCTAAAGCACTATATATATATATACATGTTTATGGAGTGAATCAAAATTTCACTATTGCAAGGAAGTTTTATCTAAGTAAATGTTTTTTTCCAGACAAGCATACAGAAAAAATGATGAACCTTATTACTACGTGTATATATATAATAAGAGGTATAGCTTCAAAACTGTTATTTCAATTACATTAATTGTCAGTAGGTGATCAACACCAGCACTATAAAACAATAATGAACTTAATATAAATCCAAAACTCGATTTAAAGAAACAGAAAAACCTTCACCCTTTCCAGTCATCATCCGAAAGTCATAACGGAGATTTCCTGTGGTTAATAGCACCCGAAAGCGTTGGGGATATCCGATGTATCAGACAAAATGCAGATGAGAAACCAGTCAACAGTCGTGGAAAAGTCATTAAGGGTACAAAGTTGAGTGTTTACATCCACAACATCTCAACTCTTACTGCCTTTCACCTGTCTGCAGCCACGGGTGGCCTGTTCATTAAAATCAACTTTCTTTTTGCCTTTCTTTTGATGTATACATATTAACTTTGGAATTGCTGATTATAAGAATATTTTTGGATTACTGCATTATTTAATAATAACTCTGTTTGTTACTATGAGAAATGTTTATTTTTCAAGTTTTAACACACTTTTTGCGTGGCTTTTGTGTTCTTTGAATGTTTAAAATTGCCTTTTGCAAGTTACTTGAAAATGCAGACTTTTTAAATTCAGTCAGTTATTTATTATAGAGTTTTACTGTGTTTTTTAATTTTGAATGTAAATTTACAGAATGGATTTGATTATGTGCTTACTTACTTCGATGATCCAAAAGCAATCTTTCCATCTCCTGCTTACAATTGGATTGCTTCCACGGGTGAGTATTTTTCTCATTGTAGCCAGGTAAACTTCATTGAAATTGTTATAATATAAACACATGTTGTATTAGTATGTTCAGTATTGTTGTATCATACCAAAGAAGATAATGGTGGTTGTTATAATATGAGAGAGCTAATAATGGTTGAATAGGTGGCAGGAATATTGAGATATACTTCTGATATAAACTAGTATCTTATAAAACTCAGGAGTTTTCAGAATTTATAACCTTAAACATTGGCGTTTATTAGAAATAAAATGATAAACTTTAAAATATAAATATCTATGAGATAAATTTTTCCACTAATGATTTGAATGTGATAGTGAACGTTTCAATGTTATAAAAATACTTCAAGAAAGGTTTTAAATTTATGTAATAGGTCTTAAAGATAACACAAGGATTTGGTCTGGCAGCTTCAGTTTGATGTTGCGCATTTGAAGTTGTAGGAATGTTGTTGAATGTATTTCAACTTCAGAGAACTGAAAAAAAAAAAGAATATTTTGTTTATTTCAGGTGTTCCCGACTTTGTCAAAAAAATTACATGATGCAGCCAAAGGACTGCAGCAGAAATCATTGTCTCAAGAGAAGTGTCCTACTTTCTCTGGTTCATGCACTACTGTGAACATACAGAATTTTTCATACGCTTAAATAAACTTGCCAAACATGATGCTTTTGTTCGTTTTAACTAGTTTTCATTAAAAAATCAAAGTATAAAATAGTTTTGTGTCACTTATTTAATGTTCAAAAGAAATACAGTTTACACTGCTTGTATTTCCAGATAATTATATGTGTGTGACCTCCTGCAAATTTCTAGTTTTAAAACCTATAATATTAATCAGAATTTATCCCAACTGCTTCAATTTTACAGTGTTTATTAATAATTGGCTTTCTTGAAAATAGGTTGGTGGTTAAGTTTCTGGTAATGATGGAATTTTATTCTAACAATAGCTTTTAGTTGATGGAGTGCTGGTTTCTTATATAGTTTGTTAGGTTTTTTTACGTTGGAAAAAAATGGCATATATTGTTAATTTTAGTTGAAGATGGTATTGACAATATTATGTAATATTGATGTTTTACAAAACTGCATTTAAATTTATTTAATGATGTGGCTCCCATGAACAGTGTAGCAGATTTTCAGCTTAAACTACAAATCTTTAGAAAACTAAGTTTGCTATCTAGACTGTTTATCACGTTTCAGTTAATGAAGCATATTGTTAACATCCCAGATTGTTACCTTTCAACTAATAATGATTATTTTCTAGTGTAAATTATGTTACTTTTATGTTAATAATGGCGTGTATTAGATAGATTATCATCTTTCAGATACCAATAATATATCTTGAATGCATCATGCATTGTCACCTTTCTACTAGTAATTATATATCTTGGACACTTCATATATGCATTGTCACCTTTCTACTAGTAATTATATATTTTGGACACTTCATAACTGTCACCTTTCTACTAGTAATTATATATTTTGGACACTTCATAGACTGTCACCTTTCTACTAGTAATTATATATTTTGGACACTTCATAGACTGTCACCTTTCTACTAGTAATCATATATCTTGGACACTTCATAGACTGTCACCTTTCTACCAGTAATGGTATATCTTGGACACTTCATAGACGGTCACCTTTCTACCAGTAATGGTATATCTTGGACACTTCATAGACTGTAACCTTTCTACTAGTAATTATATATTTCGGACACTTCATAGACTGTCACCTTTCTATCAGTAATGGTATATCTTAGCCTACTTTTTTCTGTTAATGATTTTATATTTCAAATACTTTTTAGTGTTACCTTTCAATTAATAATTTTATATCTGGACATTTCACAGGTTAAAGCTTTATAGCTAATAATGGTATACCTGGGATATTTCATAGGTTAACATTTTCAGTTAATCTAGTAGATTTCAGATATTTCATAGACTGTAACCTTTCAACTTATGATAGTTTATCTTGGAAACATAAATTTTCTTCTTTCTCTTAAGGGTAGAATATCTCTTGTACTTTAATAGCTTGTTTAACTGCAGTTAAAATTACATTTACTTGAAGACTGCATAACTATTTAAGGTTTGATTTATTTCAGTTTATAGTCAGGGGTGTGAAATTCATATTGCATAAAGCTTAAGACAACAAGACATTTGTGAGGGACAAGTTTTATTGTTATTTTTTGCATGTCGGACAAGAACTTTTGTTTTTTTCACATCAATGTTCTACACTCTAGGATGGCATGCAAGGTCCTTAAAATTCTGGACTGCAGAAGTTTATCATATACAGACAAACTTTTAAAAATATGTACTTCTAAACATTAAACCAAAACTACATACACAAATACACTATCTTACAAAAAGTCATGGGACACAGGTAGTTATAATAAAACATGTCTTTATTCCAAGAAATTAACAGCGTGTTGGCCCGCCTTTAGCCTTAATGACTGCTTCAATGTGTCGTGGAAGACTCTCTACTAATTTCTGGTAGAAAGCTGGTGGTATTGTGCTCCACTCCTGCTTTAAAGCATTAGTAAGCTCAACTACTGAAGAGGGCTGTCTTGGCCTTGCCCTAATTCTGTGTTCTAGTTCATCCTAAAGATGTTCTATCAGGTTGAGGTCGGGGCTCTGATGTTATTCTCTTCAGACCATAAAATTGCCACAATGTAGGACACACACAATTGTATTTAGAACATCAATGTAGGACTCGGCATTCATAGATCCAAGCATTGCGACCAGTGGATCTAGTCCATACCACAAGAAGCACCCCCAGACCATGATACCGCTATCTCCAAACTTCACTGTTGGGATAATACACTCAGGTAATAAGCGTTCTCCAGGCATCCTCCATACCCAAACACGTTCATCAGACTGGAAGAGTGTGTAGCATGACTCGTCGCTCCACAGGACCGATTTCCATTGATCCATGGTCCAAGTTCGGTGTGCCTTGCCCCATGCCAATCAACAGTGTGCATTTGTTTTTGTTATCAATGGCTTGTGGGCTGCAGCTCTTCCATGAAAATTTATGGGATGCAACTCTCGACATGTCGTGGAAAACACTCATAGAAATGCCTGTGACTGCTCGTATCTCTAAACGCAGATACTCTAGAGTCTGATGGCAAGATGAGGTAAACAGCCTTCTCAAGGTGTGTCGGCTCCTGTTCGTCAGTATTTTACACCTACCTGATCATTTCTTGGGCTCATTGTCACCTGTGGACTTTCATTTCTTCAGCATGCTGCCTATTATGGATCTGGGAATGTTTAATTGTTGTGCAATAACATCCACCTATCCTTCCCCCCTGAAACTCCGTTAGCTCTTTCCGAGTACTTATCGTTCAGCATACAAGATTGAAATGACTTCCGCAGATCACTCTTATAGGCCAAACTATTTGCATATTTCCTCATCACATCCATTTCCTACAATCAGAGGTGTATCCTATGACTTTTGGTAGGATAGTGTATTTCTAGATAGCATCAGTCATCTTACCCAATCAGCTGGACAAAAGTTGACAGCTTCAGCAAAATTGTAGCCTTGGTTGAAGCCAGCATGATATGCTCGTGGAAAAGTGAGCATAAATTCTCCAGCATACTGGTCCATTCTATAAATCTGTGTAAATACAGAATTTATGTATGAAAATATCATTCACATCATTGTGAGCAACCAACTGAATAAAACAAAAATAGAATCACTTTTTAAAGAGTTATATATTTCTGAACAAAGAACTTGGGAACTTCAAAGAGCATTCAGCATAGAGTTTATTGAAAAATGCAATGAGTATATATATATATAGAACATTTCACTAAAGTCAAATTGCTAAGTGTACTCTTTCCTTTTTTCCAGTAAACTTGATTTTATATGCTAGTGAACTCGAGTTACCTCATCTCATACATAGAGCAACTTCCAGGGACAATTTAGTCAAATATATTTAAATCAAAAAAAACTGCTCAGACTCATTTCTTTCAACACACAAAAGTTAAAAAAGTTTCTGTTGCCTGCTCAAATGTGAAATGTATGAATTATCCACAATACTGAAGTAACACATAAGTTAATAGGTGCCAATATTGTCTAATGTAAAACAGGAATGGTAATCTAAAGAAATCTGAGCAAAAAACAGGAATGACTTAATTTATGCAGCTGCTTCCCTACCATGAATGATGCCGAAATCCTCGGAGCAGATAGTATAAAATACAGGGTTTTCACTTATTTTGTATGATTTAATGCATGCCTAGTTGCCAGTATATTTACTTAAGTTTCTGTAACACCTACACTTCACAACATTCATTTAACCCTATAATGCTACTTAACAGGTTATCTGATTCATACTATTGCTATAATCTTACCCCTTAACCCTATAATGCTACTTAACAGGTTGTCTGATTCATACTATTGCTATAATCTTACCCTTTAACCCTAGAAAAATTAGAATAAACAGAATGACTGGTTCATGATACTGCTGTACTCTTACCACTTAACCCTAGGAAGCTGACACTAAACAGATTGACTGGTTCATGATACTGCTGTACTCTTATCACTTAACCCTAACTCCAGTTTTCAAAAGAATTATACAGGTGGACAGTTATTATTCATTGCTCATTTTTAAGCACAATTTTGCTAAATGTTATAAAATTCTCCTAATTAAAGAGCATTTAGCATCATGTGATATTAGCTTAAACAATTAGCATAAATAATGATGCTTGATACAGCTGTACTGAGTGCATGCGGGTGATGATAAGAAACTGTTAATCTAAATTCCATGGCATTAGTATAAAGAAAGCTATTAACATTGTTTTAGAGAGGAAAACTTACCACCATATATTTTAAATAATCTGATTGGTTCTGTAAAGTATAAGTCTATTCCAAATAATAGGATTGCAGTCCTAAAGCTAATGTTGATTACTATAAGTGTCACTTTCTTATTTGCTGTTGTTTGTTGGTGTATAATGATATCTAACCAAAAACACCTTAGGTGTGAAAAAGAGATGTGGCCAAAAAGGACTGAGTGTGGGACTTAACCCTTTCCAGACAGGTCACGGATGAAAGGCCATGTCATTGCATATGTTGACTCGCATTCAAAATGTTATTGAACTACTATTTCATTAATTTATGTCAATAAGTTTGGTATCAAAACTGTAGGTCATTATGATAAATATATATAAATGTATAATGTTATGAGAGTTAGGCTATTTAGTCTAAATATTTATGTTTTTATGTTATAATCTGTTGTCATTCTAGAATGAAAGAGGTATAATTTATATATATTTCCTAATTTTTTTATGGTGGTTACAAAATCAGTCAAATCTACCGAACCTGTACAGAGATTTGTTACAGAAAATAACAGATAAAATATAATCTGGACATTATAAAGATTTTAAATGTGAAATTTGAAAATTTTCTGATGCATAAAAGTATTTTTAATCTTAAAATGAAAATTACTTTGCATGTTGGATAGGCAATATGTGAAAAGTAAAAAAAGGCATGAGAAAAACATTGCTTTACAAACCTTAAGACTTAGTTAAGAATATTTATATTTTGCAAATGAAAGCATTGTAATGTTTACTAATAATCTGCCAAATTTTGTTAACATTCGCTTACTAATTTGAAAGTTATAGCATGAAAACTATAAAAAGCACAAAATGGTTACGAAGTCGGTCCCAGGGACCTAGCCCATGCTGAAATAGTTAAAGAAATAAAATCAAAACTGGTGGCCGAATTGGTTACAACACTTATAGCACTGATAAGAATTTTACAGCAAATATTCATTCACTAGTTAGCTAGGTCATTTTGTTTTACCCACCATCGTGCCCCAAGTTGAACAAAAAACATGGCCTGGGTAACTAATGAATGAATATTTACTGTAAAATTCTTATCAATGCTTTAAACGTAGCTACCATTCCTTTAAGTCACACGCTCAATCCCTTTTTGGCCACATGGTTAGACTGATACGTACAGGAACTCCTGCAGCCATTAGAATATTTGGATTGATGATAGTAACGAGTTGGTGAAGTAGGTCTGGCTGGGTTTCAAACAGTTCTGGAGCTGCATCTCTCATAGCCTCTTCAAATACTTCAGCTTTTTCTCCTGGTACACCATACCATGTCTTTGGCTCCCCCCTTCATAAAACAACAAACAGGATACATTTTTACAAAACTTGTCATTCTACCTTTTAGTACTTCAGTAGCTCACTAGTTTACTGATAAAATCCACTACATAACCTCAAACAGTATATATTTATCATCCAGTATTCATATATATAAACATCACAGAGTTGAAAAATCATGCTAGCACAACAAACCTTAAGATCATTAATTTTGACTATTAGCTTTGACTTAAAAAAAAAAATTTACTTTTTTGCAAGAGCTAATTTAACTGTGACTTTCTACTTATAAGTCTTTTAATTCACACAGAAGGTAAATAAATAAATTAAAGTTAGAAAGCTATGTTTCTTACCAATGAAGGTAGTTAATGGAGTAGCTCCAATGATCCTCATTGTGCCAGCAAAATGTAGCAAAACACATTCCAACATAGACCCAGGGTATCTGTGTAGTCAAAACCAAAGTGTTGTTCCACATACTTTAACAAAAATTCTTTATACTGTTTCACACACACACACACATGCAAGAACAAAACAAATAAATAAACTCTTAAAGCATAAGAGTAAGGAGTAAAGCATCACAATGTTTAATTCCACAAAACTATTAATAACACCAATAAGAATATTACTTATGATTATTAAGCTACAAAAACATTTATATTTGACAATTAATGTTACTTGCATTTCATAATAAACATCAAAAATACTGACAGTTAACTCTTCTTTCTTAATTAGCCCAATACAAATGTTGACAAGAACTAGTGCATTATCAGAATTAAAAACCAGAAATTTTTAGGCCAAATGAATCATAACCAAAATATTAATATTACCTGCATGTTATTAGGTAGCAGCCTTTAAAAGGTTTAGTATTGAGTGACACACCTTCAAATGTCAATTGTATGTTGGAAGACTGTGCTAGACTAAATTGAAAGTGACGTGTTAAAAGTTACTGGTAATCTTAATATACCTATTAAAGATTCCAATAAGATAGCGAAAATGTATATGTTTAATTTGGGTACCTTCATTCCATTAATATCTGCATTAATGTGCCTCAAGACTGAATCTTCTAAGATAGGGAGGTTGTTGAGGTTCCAACCTGAATTGATGTATTCCTAGAAATATGTAGTATTAAATTCTTTAATTACAAAAATATCACTTAGAAACAAATAATTGTAAAACTCTCACAAGAATACATGTGATATTATATTAGTGAATAACACTAGGGAAAAACTAATCAAATTTTGAACTAATTTTTGAAAGGTAGCTTTTTCAAAACATATATCACCTTTCCAAAACTGCATAATCTATTGAACAGCAGAATGATATGTATATCAAATAATTTCAACAACAAATCACAAGTTATTTCTAAGATTTTAAAATTATACAATTTTGTTACTTAAAAAATAAAATAAAAGTAACTTTACCACACTGAAACTGAAGAGTTATGAATAAACATATCCATTTTTGTTATAGCCAGGATCAATAAAAAATATTAAACAGTTTTACTAATATTATATACGATATTATTTAAAAAATAAACTATATACAATATTTTCCTTCTAGAAATCCCTCATCCTGCTTCCTCCTTAGAAACATGTGACAGAAAAACCAAAATATCAAAAACTAGTATTATACTGCACTTTCTATTTTCACTTCTGGAAATAACCATCTTCTTCATTGGTATCACAAAACTTTTATATTAATTAGTAAAGAAACTGATTTGTATACTTGAAGAAAACCTTAAAAATTATTATGAGATATCACACCTCTTCATCTGGTGGAGAACACTTGCTAGTTTTTGTTGGAAACCCCGAGCCATGTTCCAGGGTGTGAATATCTGCTCCATACTCTACACAGACATCTTCATTTACAGCTTTTACTAGTCGCCAAAACTCTTTCTCAACCACTGAAGTAGGGACCATCTAAAAAAATCATTATCAATTATTGATTGGCTAACTATCCTTTTATTATCATGATAAAACAACAGATACTGTGTTAAAAGACTGATTATTCAGTCAGGAAATACCTATTCATATTTAATTTTCAGTTATCTCTAAAAAATTACTGGACTTTATTATATATAAATCCTGATAGGTTTTCCTCACATGAGCTGGCATGCTGAAGTAATCGGACTTGAACTGGTCAGCCATTTCCCCAAACTCCTGAAGGGTGTAGTCTCTCTTAGCTTGCTCAAACCCAAAAGCCTCATGGGGTTTTTCCACTTCCTGGAAGCAAAAACAGTTAAGCTCATAAGACAATTATTGTCCTCTTCTGATAGTACAACTCTACTTTCTGTTTATATATACACACATACTATTCACCAATAGTGATGGATGCACAAAAAACATGAATATACAAAATAAATATAAAATAAAAACTTTTTATAGGTTAAATATAATATTAACCTGGGTTTCAGTTATAAAAGTTTTATTCTGAATTACAGACGGTAGTGGCACCAGCACCAAAAATTTGGGGGCAAGCCAAAGTTTTGGTGGCCAAAACAAGACATCTTATACTCACGTGTAATTCTAAAGGGACTTGTTATTAAAATTTTAGTGTGCTAAATTACATTGAGCCAACCATGGGTTTCAAAAATTACTTTGTACTGACTTTTGAAGCCCCAAAGTACTCACAAACCTTGAAAAGGATCAGAAGGTTTTTGACAATTCTAGTATATCTGCCAATTATTATTTTTTTTGGGGGGGGGGGGATAATAAGTCCCTTTAAAAGTGGAATGATGAATAATGTTCTTTTGAGCATTATTTAATAAAATAAATAATTATTTACTACAGTAGTACCATTAGTACAAAAAATCAACACTAAAGGGAATACCTATTATTGTAGGATATATTTGGTTGACTTCTAGTATACAAGAAAAAACATCCCGTAAAATTGTAGTGTAGGTGTGAACATGTTTTCTTGTTATACACATTACAGTTGCTCTATATATGTAGGATTTAATTTTTTTTGGGGGGAGGGGGGCAAACTAGGAAGGAAAAAAATTTGGGTGGGCAATTGCCCTTCTTGCCCCCCCCCTCTCCTCCCATTTAGCACTGCCACTGATTACAGATGTATTTTATAAGATAAAAAAAAAACTTTTTTAAAAAACTTATTTAATAAAAACAGTTCACAAGAAAGGAAACCTTTAAAAACAGAAATGCTAATCTTGTATTAACTCATATGTATAGATGTTTTATGTTTAAGTTCCTTAAAGTTTTTGTAAATGAGCACAAAAATAACTGACAGAGAAAATAAAATCATATCCAACCCCCACACCTCAATTATCTTAAAAGAACATTTAGAGGAATGAAAAACCAAGGGAAGCTTAAGGAAAGATACTGCACAAGGAAGATGTGTCAACTCCTATTGGTGGGGGTTATCATCACACGAAGAGGTCATCATGAACTTTAGATGAGAGTTAGCTCATGGCTAGTGGCATGCAAGTCTTATATATAATTCAACACTGGATCACAAAGAGTAAGAATTCAATTTATTTAGTTCGAGATCTGACAAGTAATAATTTCCTAACAAACATGCAACATGTTACCATAATGAAATTTTGTTCACGTGTTTTAGCAAAGAGTCATAACAATTATATTATTACTAATTTGTGGAATTAATTTATCAAACAAAGAGTAGCTCATACACACACTTACTTGTTGAAATTTTATCTGTATTTTAAGATCAATTTTTTTCAACTGTAAGCCTAAATTTATCCTCATGTTTTATATTTTAAATTAGACACAAATCTTCACCTGAGCAACACATCGTGGACATCTCCAGTCTCCTTTTGGTATTTCATGCATTGGAGGGATAAGGCAGAAACTGTGGTAGCTATCATCACATCCATCACAAAGCAGCATCTTGGCTTCATCATCTCCCCGTCCACAAATGTGACACACAATAAGATCAATCTGTGAGATAATACAGCTAAGGTTCAACCTTAACTGTAGAGAAGTAAAATGTGTTAAATCTTTTCTTTTATCCAAAAATGTATTAATCAAATAATTTATAAATTTATAGATGGTAGCTACGAAGTACCTTCAATAAACATCAAGTTCTGGATTTCCTAGATGTCAACTTTTACACTTTGCTGTTATAAATTTAAGAATCGGAAGATATTTTATGGCCACTATTTATTTACTTAAATTCAATTTTACTCTAATGTTTCATTTCTCCTCTTTGCTTGTCTACTTCAAGATCCTTTGGTAGCTTTATAGATTCTCTCAGTTAAAACTATAATATATATATATATATATATGTATATATATACTGCATTACTCATGCTAGGGTTTTATTAATGTAATTATGTAACTGAAAGAAAGCAAAATATATAATTACTACATTTATCATGCTAGGATATATTAAATTTACTTATGCAACTGAAAGAGGACCAGAAGATAAACATACTACATTACTTATGCTTCAGTAAGATTTGAGTTTCATTTTGAATTTTAGATGACAGTAAGAATAATTTAATGCTTTGTGTTTTCTATTAAGTTGTACATAAAAGTAGCTTACTAAGGATTTACAATTTTTTGTACTATCTAGCCCATAAGTGTTGAGACTATGGAGCATGCAGACTTGAGTACAGCACAGTGAATGCAGTTGTCAGAATATAACATGGCACAGTGAGTGCCATTGTTAGAATAGAGCATGGCACAGTGAGTGCCATTGTTAGAATAAATCATGGCACTGTGAGTGCCATTGTTACAATAGAGTACAGCACAGTGAGTGTCATTGTTGCAATACAGTACAGTACAGTGAGTGTCATTGTTACAATAGAGTATAGCACAGTGAGTGCCATTGTTACAATAGAGTACAGCACAGTGAGTGCCATTGTTACAATAGAGTACAGCACAGTGAGTGCCATTGTTACAATAGAGTACAGCACAGTGAGTGTCAGTGTTACAACAGAGTACAGCACAGTGAGTGCCATTGTTACAATAGAACATGGAATAATGAGTGTTTTTTTTCATTTGTGAAACAATGACACATTTTTTCAGCACATCAAGATTACTAATTCTTATTATTGAAATGTTTTCCTTTCTGGCAAAATAAGTGAAAGTTTAGCTATCAAATTTAATGTATCCCATGGAAACAGAAAACTCAAACACTTAGTTTCAGCAATACTTAACTCAGTTTACATTATGAAGTTACATAGCAAAATCTCCATACAAATTTTGTCCCCTTTCCACAGTTTCCTATACAATTCTTATCGTTATCAGTGTTTTATAGGTTTATATAGCTAATAATTACTCAAAAACCTAATTTAATTAGTTACAAATAATGTTTATAAAGATGAGTACTAAACTGAAGTTAATTTTTATATTATTAGCCTACATTTTCAACTTAACAATAAAATGCCTGTACAGCTTATCAAGAAAAACAAAACAGTTAAATACAACTATCCATATCTGTCACATTTTTCAAATTCTACAAATTGCTATAACAAATTCTACATGAAAAACCACTAGTTTGTTTTTATTGCACTATTTCGCACCAACAAATTATACTCAAAACATGGAACTTGTATATTTTATCATAATATGATGAAAACTGATCATTAACAGCTACAGGAAATGGTGACTTACAGGGTTAATTTTTCCTTTAGCTTTTCCTATCTTGAACTGAGAAGCCAAGTTGTTTGAAAACTCATGCTGACTCCCTGTAAGAAAAAAACAAAAACTATCTCAGGACACTAATTAATGTTTACAGCAGTTTAACTCTTTTGTAGAAACTGAAGAGTTTCATTTATATGTAGCACCAATTTTTTTTCTGCATTTCCTATAATTTTTAACATTGTGAGAGACATCAAATAAGACTGCAATATCAATTAAAATGTTTAGTTTATCATGTCAGAGAATGATCAAAACTTCTGATCCTTTCAAGGAAAGAACTAACTAAACCAGAATCAGGTTTTTAACTTGAACTCGCTAGTAATTAGGATCAAAACTTCTGAGCCTTCCCAGGAAAGAACTAACTAAACCAGAATCAGGTTTTTAACTTGAACTCGCTAGTAATTAGCAAAATGTCTCCACTTTTAAGTCCTTAAATTTCAAACCAACAATACAGAAATGTTCTGAGTTTGCAAATCTACCATATAGAAATGTCTTGAAATTGGAAGTATACCACATGAAAATTTCCTGAAGTTTGAAGTATGCTATATAAGAATGTCCTGAGATTGAAAATCTACCATATAGACTATGTACATATATGGCTAAACTCTATTACATGTACACATAATATAAGTTTGTTTCTTTGTTTTGAATTTTGCACAAAGCTACACGAGGGCTATCTGCGCTAGCTGTCCCTAATTTAGCAGTGTAAGGGAATGCAGCTAGTTATCACCACTCACCACCAACTCTTGGGCTACTCTTTTACCAATGAATATGGGAATGACCATCACATTATAATGCTCCCACGGCTAAAAGGGTGAGCATGTTTGGTTGGACGGGGATTCAAACCCACAATCCACAGATTGTGAGTAGAGTGCCCTAACCACTTGGCCATGCTGGGCCCATAATATAAGTAACAGGAAAAGTATCTAATCATACTGATGATATAAACAACAAGAATATATAAACACACTGAAGCTTCTCTACTAATATTTAATCCTGATGTTTCAGCATACATCTTTCTCAAAGACTCACAGATTCCAAATATTTTCTGATGTTTATTTAACAATAATGGAAAAAACACAATAAAAACAGTCATTCAACAGAGTAGCAATTAAAAAAGAACAAATGTATAAGAAAATGTTGTTGTTGTTGTTGCACAGCCTTTTCAATGTATAACTGTTTTTTATTGTTGTGCTATTATTTCATATTGTTGAATTACAGTGTTCTTTCCAGTTACTGTCTAGCAAATAATATAGCACTTGTAGTTTGTGATAATGCAAACTTGTGAAAAAAATGTGTGCCCAAATACTAGATATTTCTTGTGAATTATATAGAGGATTGAATATCTATACTAATAAAACAGCTTCTCTGTGTGTGTCAGTCAGTCAGCACCATAGCTCCAAGAGGAAAGAACCTAGAGACCTGAAACTTTGCAAGCATACTAAGGGAATTCTGAGGGTATTATTTTTATCTCAAAATATTTTGGTCAGTTTTTTTGGCCTATAATTTTGCCATACAGCCTTTAAGCCATAAAAAAAGAGAGAAGTATATACTGCCACCTGTCACTTGGTACAACAGTTATGGAATAAGTATAATAATAATAACAGTTTGGTAACAACAGATTAAAAAAAAAAACAATGCATAAAAGTGTTAGAATTCATATAATTGTTTGAAATTATTATACTTCAATGTTTTTTAATTTGTATTTCTGATTTTCAAATTGATAAAAAATCATTATTACCCATGCAGTGAAAAAAACAAATTTGATCTTATTTCAACAAACACTGAAGGAGATATGAAACGCGTACTCAGGAAGAGTAACACACAAAAGGTAAGCAATATTTTCCATCATGCTTAACTAGATCCTAATAACTGTTAGTTTTTTTAAAACATGTCACTATAAAACTGTTATCATTTACATTTTTTGAAAGAAACCATGCATTAAAGTGTTAGAATTCATATCACCATTTTCACCAATAATGTAAAACAACAGGTTTTGTAACAATAGGTTTAGAAAAAAACCACAACATAAAAGTGTTAAAATTCATATTATTGGCAGAAATAATTATATTTAAATGTTTGTATCTAAAAAACTATTTTCAGGGCACAGGGACAATCACTTAAAGTTGTTGGTTTCAACCTGCAAAGTCCATGATTTTCTCATGGCCAACTCAATGTTGGTTGCTTCAGAGTTGAAAATGGTAAGAACCTTTTCATATTGGCACCAAAAGATAAAACATGTAACATTGTCTATCCTGAAGCTCTACATGGATAAAAAAGTGTCAAGATGCACAGTCATCAGGCAGAGCCAGACCAGGTATGGTAACATGAACTATAACAATGGTAATACTTCATATATTGTGATCAACAAAATAATCTTTCAGCTTTCTAGTCTTTATTGGAAAATATTCAAAACTGATAAGAAAAATATGTACTGGTTGATCTACAATAGCTTCAAAATATGACCATGAATATTCTAAAGAAAGCTTAAGTTTAAACATTCAAATTAGTAATATAACTATTACATTCATATAAAGATGTCACAATCACAAAAGCTAAGTTTAAAATAGGTACCAAACAAAACAAAAATTGCCAAGAATTCAATAAATAAACAATTCAACTTACCTTTTATTGGACTGTAGCCTGACATCTTTGGTCCTGCACCATAAAACTGCAGTTTCTTCAACTCACTGTTTGTGGAGTAGTCTACATCAGCCTGAAAGGTGAAAAAATTATATTTTTTAGACTTCCTTAATCCTATTTATTCTCTTCATAATTAAATTCACTCATAATTTCCTACAGTCTAAAGCTCTGTAACCTTCCTCATTCAGTCTACCCACACTATCACATATTTATGCCTTGTTTACAAACAGGGATACAGAAAATCAATCACCAGAGATCATTAAACATGCTTTGGATTAGAGAGAACTTACTTACTGAAAAAAGAGAGATGCAGATTTTTCACGTGCATCCCAATAATGCACAATGTTTAAAGAGGGGACATGTATTTAAAATATACAAGTTCCACTAAAACACTCTGCTGCAAAAGTACAAAAATTCAGATGAAATGTTCTTTATAAATTGGCAGTTTAGCACAAGGATATGTATAAGTCTGAACTTTATGGAGATCTTATAAAGGTCGAGAAACTTTGAAAATGTGCAATTCAGAGTGAAGTATCACATGATGAAAAACAGTGAAGATCACAATTTGTTTTAAATTAAGAAATTAAAACATATATATATATATATATGTGTGTATATATAATATTGAAATTAAATTTATTAACTATTTTTTAATGCCAAGTTTATTCATATACCTTCAATAAACTAATTTTAGAATGTAACACTATAAAAAGGTTGTGACATACCCACTTGACATACCTGTATCCAGAGGGATAATATTTTATGTGTTGTGCAGCAATCTCCTGCCAGTTTCATGACTAACCTTGAGAACACAGCATTTGGATTGCTAATAAAAGTTATCAGTGCTTAGTGTCTGATATAGTATGTGAATACTGTTAAAATTACTTCTAAAAGACCAATTCCTTCACCTGCTTGTGATTCAAAGTGAAAATTGTATTTCACTCTCCAGGAGAGGGTGAAAATATTATTCGTGCTGGTGAGTCAGCAAGCAAGATAGGGCAACAATATGGCATCAACCATCAGTTCTTTTTAGAATGTAAAATTTTGTTGATTGAATGTGCACTGTATTCAGTTTATTTATTATATAATACTTTTGTACTGTATTGTATGGCAAAAAAACAATGCATAAAATAGTATTATACTATACAAACAGGATGATTCACTTAATAAAAAGCATTGTATAGGGGTTCATGAGTGTACAACTCCTTATATTACACAGAACTAATGTGTTTTTGGACAGTGGTTTTGTGATAATTCCCAGAAATTTTAGGTTTATGCACAAAAGGTAGGTTTTTCTATAGGGTCAATTAATTTTACCTGCACAAAAGTTTTAATGCATGTGGAGTGGCAGAACACATCCTCGTGCACGAGTAAGACAACTTGTACTCTGAAGAGCCAAACCTCAGTTACACCACTAATTTCATGTCTTAAGAATTATTACATGTATTTGTGATTTTATCTACTCATTTTATTCTATGCCAAATCTAAAAATACACTCAACCAATAACCTCCAAATTTCAGTTTAACCACAAGTTCTTATACTTTACCAGTAACCTCCGAGTTTCTGTCTATCTACTGTAAACCTGTATCCACACCTTCCTATACTTTACCAGTAACCTCCAAGTTTCTGTCTATCTACTGTAAACCTCCAATTTTCAGTGTATCCGCACCTTCCTATACTTTACCAGTAACCTTCAACTAAGTATTTTACAACAAACTTTTTCTGCCATATATTCTTATTAAAGTTTTTCTTCATATTAACAGCTAACAATCAAGACTTATTTATGTTTAGATATAATTCTTGTTAAAACTCTACAGGATATAATAGATAATGTGCATCCTAGATACCACTTAGATAGTTCCATTAAAAGATACAGGGGGAGTTAATATAAGATGAGCTTTGTTTTCATTATGTTTTTTTATTCCTTATTTTGACAGAGAGAATGAAAAAGAGATGAACTTTGAGTTTAGACCTTGAAAAAGTAATTAGCTTCCAGTTTTCTCAGGAAAAGATGTGATTCCACTTGTGCATCTTTTAGACCTCCAAGCAACTTCCTCAGAAGGGTCAATTGTTTTCATCCTCTGAACTTTGAAAGTTCTGGGACGTCAACAAGTTGCAGTGTAACTTAACAGCTGTACAGAAGTGTTTATAAATTTAAGAATTTTCGTGTTTTCTCCTTTGTATTAAATAGTTCTTGGTTTACTATCAGACATTATTCAATCCCTGATCTCACTCTTTGGTCAAGACACCCTTCTGCACTCTTTAAGAAACTGAACTCAGAATATCATGAATCTAGTTTTAGCAAAGAAAAGAATCCATTAAACTCACTTTACACAAACTAAACTTAATATACCATGAATCTAGTTTAAGAAAAGAAAACAACAGATAAAATTAACTTCATAGAAAATGAAGTCAATGAATCCTAAATCTAGGTTCTGCAAAGAAAACAATCCATAAAACTCACTTTGCACAAACTAAATTAACTGAATCAGGAATCTAAGTTACCAAAAACCACTCCATCAAACTCAGTGTACTGAGTATATCATGAACCATGTTTTGTATATACTGTACTCTTTTTTGAGTTCTGATACTTGTGGATCATGTTCAGAGTTAAATCTCAAACCAATTACGAAGTTGCAACTGTTGTAATCTTTTAGAACTGGTAATATTTTGCAAATAATAAATAAAAAGTAATTGTTGCACTGACTTTTGCAAAGGGCTTAAAACTAATCAGCATAATCTACTTGCAAAGATTAAACAAACTAGGAATAAATAGTTACAATACACTTGAAAATACTGAAATTCTCTTAACAGTTAACCAAAGATTTAGTTCTCTACAATTTAACAGCATAAAACTGTACTACTGTTGCTAAAGTCTGAAGTTCTTGCTTGGCATAAGAGAGTTAAATGTAAGTGCCATTTTTATTCTATATATATATATTCATGACGTCAAACGAAATAAAAACACCAGATATATTTCAATAACGTATGTGACAAAAAACATAAAAACTCGTATTTTAAAGATTCTTGATTCCTGTGCATATGTGATACCTCTATTATGAATGCAAAACTTAACACAAGAAACAATCAAATCCTTTTAACCCTTTTGCTCCGAACATCCTTTACTGTGCATGTCATAAGGTTTTTAGTGATTTACTTTCAAAGTTAAATTAAACTAATTTTTGTTCATCTTATACCAATTAGTATAGCATAAAATCATAGCTAATAATTTTTTAATTTTTTAATAAAGTTCTTAATTTTATAAGGCAACATTAAACAAAATCCAGAATTTCCTTTAGTGTGAGAAACGTGACATTTTTTCTCTATACATCCCCTCTTTTCTAATTTATTTGCCACCCCTCAAAGAAGTACAAAATTTGATGTAAATTACTCATTATAATGTTTTCATTGCTCAGGCAAACCATAATTTTCATAGTCTTCAGGTAAGTACTATATTTCTTGTTTTTGATGTGTATTCTTTATTTATTGTTATAAAAGTATCTAAAATGCAAAAATTGGAAACTGTTTAGGTTAGTTAAAGTTGTATTAGGTAAAATAAATGATAATAATATAATAAAAAATTTTCATGAAGCACGCATGCGATTAGCTCTTGGGTAATATAATTCGATAGCGTAACATGAACTGCACGTTCCCCAAGTGACTTGCAACTTATAATAGCATGAATAGTAGTTAGATAAGGTGTAAAGAGCAATAAAACAATAAAATTTAAGTATAAATAGATGTATACTGTTACGAGTTTAAAGCTACTTATGATAAACAGTATGTGGCAGGGTATGTAACAACCAGTAAGAAAATGTTATGATCTAAACAGTATGTGGCAGGGTATGTAACAACCAGTAAGAACAGTTTACGATCTAAAAAGTATGTAGCAGGGTATGTAACAACCAGTAAGAACAGTTTACGATCTAAACAGTATGTGGCAGGGTATGTAACAACCAGTAAGAACAGTTTATGATCTAAACAGTATGTGGCAGGGTATGTAACAACCAGTAAGAACAGTTTACGATCTAAACAGCATGTGGCATGGTATGTAACAACCAGTAAGAACAGTTTAC